ACTCACACCGAGGGATGGTCGGCGGCGTACTCCCACCGTCATCGAGAGTCGAGTTGGACGCAAAGAAAGAGCCTAGCAGATCGGCTTTCTCCTTATATTTACGCGGAATTATACTTCTTTTTTAGAGCGCTGGTGTTTACATCCCGGGACGTTGATGCGTCAGCCCAGGCTTGGTTGCACTCCTGCTTATAGCATGATGCTATTTTACAGGAGCGACCAAACCATGGCTGAGATTTGCCTCCGATGGGCACCACAGAGGAAGGAATAAAAAGTTCCATACCCTGAAGTACCACATCAGCGACAGAATCCGCAACAACGTTGGGATCGTCCAGCGAGAAGCAAACCCGCCCCTAAGGGTAGGATGCAAAGAAAGACCGCATCCTATCCCAATCGACTAAATCCACAAACCCCGCCCCCCCCCCCCCCCCCCCCCACAAATACCGCCCCCCCCCCCACCGGGCCCCCCCCCCCCCCCCACCCCCCCCCCCCCCCCCCCCCCCCCCCCCCGGCCCCCCCCCCCCCCCCCCTTTTTTTCCCCCCCCCACCCCCAAGTAACGACTAAAACTGGAGCGCCTCGTTTCCAATAAAAACTCAAACTCCGAGCCACTGAGTTAGTCTTCGTTAGTCACCTGATGTCGTGTGAGTCGAATTGTCACCTCCAGCCATGGAGCAATGTCACTAAAGAAGAAGGCATCGCTGTTGCTTCAGCCGCTTTTGTTTTATTTTGTGGATATCATTTACTTAATAAAATTAAAAAAAAAGAAGAAAAGGCGCTGGTGGATGACATCGTCAAAATTAAAAATTCAGCAATCGTCTCATTAGACCACACTCCATATCATGAATATCTCAACGTCGGATGAGTTAAGACGAAATGAACGAGTTCAATCTTGTAAGGTGTAAGCTCACCGACGCGCTAGCCCGCGCTGTGCCACGCCGCGCCTTTGAAGTTACCGATTTTAAACGGATAGCACGCGCTGCGCCACGCCTGCCCGCGCCAAGCCTTCACACTGCGCGTGACGCGTAATAACACGCAGTGAGAAGCCGCGATAAGAGATTCACAAAGAGTACCTTTTTATTCACCGACGACTGACTCGTTGGTCTAGTGGTTGTAAACGTGATCATGTGCTCCTGAATTCGAATCCCGGTTCTCGCCAAGAATCAGTTATTGGGATTTTCTGTCAAAAAATTCTCATTGGCAGCCCGGCGTTAGGAAGTTGGCGGTGTTTTAAAAGCACATAAAGACGTTGGTCTTGCGCCTGATACAGAGAACAGTACCAAACCTAAGTATCAAGCACAATTAAAAAACGAATTTCACTTCATTTCATTCCAACTAAGCGAGTGTTTCGCAGAGTGAAAACGATGATGCTGTTTAAAATTCTACAGAATGTAGAATATTCTGTAGAATTTGACTTCTGCGGTTGTCGCTCGCTGAAAAAAACGAGGACTATCCAATCGAAACTTATGGCATAGGGCTTGTAACTCGATTTCAAAATTTTAAGTCTGATTTATAATGGCTTGTGTAAAAATTCGCACATCGCCAGCGGTGGATTTGTCCACCATGTTTAGTATTAACATACTTATTAGCTATTTTACAGTCATGATCGATAGCTACCATGAATCACGTCCAGTAATCACTCCACCAAAACATGCTGAGCAAAAGCAACAGTGGTGGGGTAAAGAACTAGACAGGAAACGTAAGAAGGTAAGAAAAGCCCTAAATAGGGCAATGAATACCTCAAAGGATGAAGACTGGCTTCTATATAAGGAAGCTAGCTAAGTCTGAATACAAAAAATATATCAGGTATCGACGCTCAACAGGGTGGCGCATATTCTGTGGTAGTATAGAAACCTGTGAACAAGCAAATCGGATAAGGAAAATCCTAGCTAAACAGAACACGCCGAGATCTATCTCTTTAAAGAAACCCGACGGAAGCTACTCAACATCGCCGGATGAAACCCAACGCATCCTAATTGATACTCACTTCCCAGGTTGCTGTGTAGTTGAAAGGGTGAACCGGCATGAAGATGCACTGACACCAACAAAAGAAGACTGGGAATTAGCACAGAGTGGTGACGATGGACAAAATCCATTGGGCCATTCATAGTTTCCAACCCTATAAGGCAGCAGGACCTGACGGCTTATTCCCGGCACTTCTACAGTGGGGGGTAAAGTCCTAATAGTCAGACTTGTTGCCATAATGAGAGCATGTCTGGCTCTTAAATGTGTTCCTAGGGGATGGAGGGAAGTGAAAGTCACGTTCATACCCAAACCAGGTAAGAACGACTATACAGACCCTAAATCCTACAGACCCATTAGCCTCACATCCTTTCTCCTAAAGACGATGGAGAGGATGTGTGAATGGGAGTTGAGATGAGTTGAGACACGAAAAACAACACGCCTATAGCTTAGGTAAATCAACAGAATCGGCACTTCACCAGGTAATAACAAAGATTGAAGAGGCCATCCAAAACAAAGCAATACGTCTAGGCTCCGTCGCAGACATAGAAGGTGCTTTTGACAGAACAAATTTCTCCAGCATAGAAGGTGCCCTAAGTAGACATAATGTTGAACCAGCACTGATTGACTGGATAGTAAACATGCTAAGTACATGAACAATACAGATTGCTGGTGAATCTCAGACAATTCAAATCATGAAAGGATGCCTGCAGAGTGGGGTTCTTTCACCTCTCCTGTGGAATATGGTCATTAATGAACTCATCAGCAAATTAAACGCTAACCATTTCTACACAGTCGGTTATGCAGATGATCTGACAATACTGGTCTCTGGTAAGACAGCAAGCATTGTGTGCGACCTGACCCAAGCGGCTCTCCGTATTGTGGAGAGATGGTGCAGGGAATATGACCTAACCGTTAATCCAAATAAAACGGTTATAGTAATGTTCACACAAAAACGAATGCTGAATAACTATCATCTTCCAAGTCTTTTTAGCACAAAACTCCAGTTTTCCTCCGAGGTAAAATACATACAATACAGGTCTTACCTTGGACAGTAAATATAACTGGAAGAAACACATAGAAAACAAAATCATCAAAGCTAGTTTAACTTTCTGGCAATGCAGAAACATGATTGGCAAACGATGGGGTTTAACGCCAAAAATTATACTGTGGCTGTGCAAAACTGTAATTCGGCCCATGATCACATATGGCTCTCTGGTATGGTGGACCAAAACCAATGAAGCCACCACTATACAAAAGCTTCAGCGTTACCAGAGATTAGCTTGTATGGCTGCCGTGGGCTGCATAAGGACTACACCAACACCAATTTTGGAGGCTATGCTGGAGCTAACACCGCTTCATCTACATATACAACAAGAAGCAACTTTAGCTGCCATTAGGCTCAAGACCCTAAATCTTTTAAGTAAGAGTAGAGTCCCCCATACAGATAAAATCGATAGAATTTACATATGATAGGATCCCAAAACAATTTGTATTCGATAAGAAGTACAGATTACAATTGAAGGAAACTGACCATCTGGAAGGATTGGGTCCAAGAGAGCTCAAAGTTTTCACGGATGGCTCCAAGACAAATGAAGGTGTGGGGTCTGGGGTTTTCTCTGAAGACCTTAATATCCACATATGCACACCGCTGGGTACCCACAACACAGTCTTCCAGGCTGAATGCATGGGTATCATCCAAGCGGCCATAGATGCCATGAAGGTGAAAGACTTCTCCATCAGAATATTGACCGACAGTATGGCGGTACTACAAGCTCTGAGTTGCAATGTGACAAACTCGGGCTGATATACGAGTGCCATCAATGATTGAATGAGGTATGTAAGCACAACAATGTGACTGCAATGGATCAAGGGACACAGTGGATCTAGAGGCAACGATGCAGCAGATGAACTGACCAGAAGGGAATCGGCCCTGGCAACTATAGGGCCGGAACCAATAATACCAATCCCCTTTGGCTACGTTTGTTCACTGGTACATAGATACTTCAATAATTTACACGCTCAGCTTTGGAAAAATTTAGTAGACTGTAGACAAGCTAGGGAGGCCCTGCCTGAAATAAACAGTTGTCTAACCAAGGTTCTAATGAGACTGAACAAGCCACAGATCAGGATAGTAACAAGTGCTATCACAGGACATGGCTCTTTTAACAAACATTTGTTCACCATAGGTATTACTGATAGCCCCCTGTGCAGGGCATGCATGGGAGAGGAAGAAACGGCGGCTCACGTGTTGCTGACATGTCCAGAAGTCGCTACATACAGGGCTAAACATCTCGGCACGCTGGTATCGCTCCCCGAAGTTGCTTGCAACATCAAGGGACTGCTGAGCTTCTTCGGGGAGATATCATGGCTCGAATAACCATAGTATTCCTGCCCACACGCAAAATACGCGCTTAGACGTGGAGTTGCGGAAAACAGCCTGTCGTAAACTAAACTAAACTAGGTATTTTACAAATGAAATAATGAACTTTATTTCAATTAATAAACTTTATTTTTGTAAAATACGTTTATAAATGATTACATAAAAAATATAAAGTAATATAGTAGTACGTTATACTTTATTTGTATATAAAAAACATTGTTAACTTTATTATAAAAGTGATGTTTTAGAAAAGGTGTAGATAAAAAATTGCAAGGAAAAAAGGTTACTTTACTTATCTGCAATAAACAAACTTGGTGATCACTGTATGATTGCAAATGTCACTCAATTTTTAATTTTTGGAATTCATCTTTATCTACCAATTTAAATCTTATCTTAACCTGCTAAAGTATGATATAATTTATATAATAATAACATTAATAATATGTTAAATTACGTAAAAATTATACTCCAGTCTCTTAAGAATCTGTCTGGCAATTACAAGTCTTGGAATTCGTGGGGTTTCTGTTTATACTTTTTTTTTAAGAATCAGTTTGGCTTTCAGAGTTTCTTCATACGTCACGGGGATTCTAGCATAACGATAATTAAATCTCATCTTTACCTGTTACAGTAATAATATAATATATTTTATAATATTTACAATTACAATCCATACTCTTTCAAAATCTGTCCGGCAATAACAAGTCTTTGAATTTCTGAGGTCCCTTCATATATCTCAGTGATTCTAGCATCGCGATAATGTCTTTCTGCTGGCATATCTGTCACATAACCCATTCCCCCGAGAATCTGAAAAAATATAAAAGAAGTCATTCAACTGAAAAAAACGGAATGAGTTGCCAGCATGTCTATCCATCTGACTACAATGCTGGTGTTATCAAGGCATATATTAGACTGGTTGAGCTATGTCAGTGCGGTTTACCATCTTCGGCTGCATCCTCACTTACAATTAGGTGGAATAGTAGTCAAGAACTGGCTTACAATAGTTAAAAAAGCTGCAATACAATAAAGAAATGTTTCACAATTAAAGAAATCACTGCAATTTAATTTAGATTAATTTTCCATTAACTTCCTACACTCCCTAAATGTGCACTATAGGTATTCAAAAAATATAATAAAAGGTATTTTATATCACTGAATTTCGTATGCATCATATAAAGAAGAAAAGATTCACAAAATTAAAAATTATATACATGCTAGAGCCATGCTGCAGTTATATTAGTAGTATAGTTGTATCATGATTGGATCGGCTCGACCGGGGAAGGACCACGCTCTCACAGAATACCAGCATAAACTAGCAGCTTAATGCTGCTGTGTTTCATATGGTAAGTGTAGAGGACCGGAGACCCTTTTTACTGGAGATGAGGCATTCCATCTTAGTCCACATGAGTGGCAACGCATCTGCATTTTGATTTGTAATTGAGGATAGATGTAGATGTCTATGGGCCACTGCAACCACTTAGCATCAGGTGGACTATGTGCTTGTTTGTTACCCCATCCTATGAAAAAAAAGTTAATTACCTGAATACACTGATGTGATAAAAATGTAGCAGCTTCTGATGCTGCTAACTTAGCCATAGCTGCCTCTTTTGTAAACGATTTTTTGTTATCTTTTAACCAAGCCGCACGCCAAGTGAGCAGTCTGGCAGATTCTAAGTTTAGTGCCATATCTGCAAGCTTGTTCTGGATGGCTTGCAATTTTGAAATAGGTTTGCCAAATGCTATTCTTTTAGATGCATATTCTACAGCCACATCTAAGGATGCCTGTCAAAATTTAATATTGCAACAATAATAGCCTATAAATTTAAAATACAAACAAAAAGGAGTATTTGTCATACTAAGCCGAAGTAGCTCAGGGGCTTAATGCTCACTGTAAATTTCACAGTATACGAGCAACCTGGGTTTGATCCCCACTTACACCAATGAAATTGTTAATTGCAATTTTAAGTGCTAATTTAGTATATGCTTGGCAGTGAAGGGAAACATCGTGAAGAAACCTGCATGTTGGAGAAATAAAATTTTAATGATATGTATTCACTGGCACTACGAAGAGATGTTGCATCTCTTTGCATTTTCTTTCACATATACCACGAGGAGTGCTCTAAGGAATTGTTCGGATTAATCCCAGCCGCCAAATTTCGTGAAAGCACTAAGTGGCAAACATCGTGATACCATCCACACCATCTGGATGCTTGGCGATCCACCACTGTACGTTTCAGAAGGAGTTTTCTTCCGCATAGGACCTCTCCATGGAATAGTTTACCACCAGCAATTTTTACGGTCCGATACGACCTAGGGACCTTCAAGAAAGCTTACTCTTTCAAAAGGGCCGGCAATGCACCTGCAATTCCCCTGGTGTTGCGTTTAATCATGGGTAGCTGTAGTCACTTAACATCAGGCAAGCCATGCTCTTTTGCCCTATTCTATAAAAAAAAATGTAGTCTGACAACACATATCGGAGCAGCGCGGTATACACTAAAACTCCTTGACCTAAAACCCTCAAGTGAGAGATCTATCTATCCAACAGTAGGACGTTAAGTTACAGCTTGTTTGGCTGTAACTTTAAATAACTTTTATTTTTCATAATGACTGCTGTGGTAGCTCAGGAGCTAAGCGCTTGCTGTGTATTTCACAGTATGTAAGCAATCCTAGCTTGAATCCCGTCGACTCTTATAAAAATGTTACAGTTACAGCCTATAATGTCTCATAGACATAAAATATTAACAAATAAATAAAGAGAAAGAGTTGCAATAATGTCCAAAATATGTTATATATGGAACTTAGTGTCTTATTAGTTATTACTTTGGAACTCCTTGCCTGATGACATCAGAAAAGCTCCCAATAAGTACGCTTTTAAAAAGTTGGTCCGTGATCATTTATTAAAGACAACACATTTTACATGACTCATATATTTAATATGTATTGCCAAACAGATGTAAATATTCATCTATTACACTAGTATTCGGTTCATATTTGGATTGCGCAAATTTGACCATATTTCCCAATTTCGCTTACGTCTCAAGTGGTAACCTATCCGACTTCGCCGGAATATGCATATTCTTTCTATTCTGTACTGTGTATTATTTCACCCTTCTACACCTCCCTATCTAAAGGAGAAGTTTAATTTTGTAGGGCTTCCAGGAGAACCTCTACGCTCTTCAAGAAAATTCATTTTAAGGGTTCCAACTCACAATACTTCCTTTTTTAATAAATCTTTTACTGTCCAGTCTATCAAGCTCTGGATTGCCCTACCGTTGCGTTTACCGACCGAATTAATCCGTAATTCGGTCTGCAGGACATTTTTATATGGTTTATACTGCGCTTGGTACTAGTAATTTTACTTTCAAACTTATTTTCTTAACCTTACATTTATCTACATATAATATGGACGTCCGAATATCCTAAAACTTTCATACTGAATGATATTTGACACCCGTATTTTTGAATTTAGTTATATTTTTATAAATGTAGATGCGCACGTCAGCTTATCGGTTTATTTCATGCTGCACTATATTTTAACGTTTTACATTTGGTACTAATCTGCCTAAAAGATTGTTAGGTATTTTGTAAGCAACCCATAATTCTGTTTGAGTATAAGTTACTTTCTGATTGAGTACAGGAAGATGGACTCAATTGTAGATATTGACAGGTTTCATAGAAGTTTGTTTTATTATATTGTGACTAATAACCTCTGACTAATAATCTAATATGGTCTGGCGAAGAAACTCATTTTAATATAAGGTTTTACTGCATTGACTGCCAATAGGTTGTTAATTTCTACAATAGACTGTGGCATATTGTTACTGACATAATTCGAAAATATAATTTATTTACTTGATCTTGTTGAGTTTTGGTGCTCTCACTGCATCTTAAGGATGAGTGCGACTATTGTACCTAATCTGTACGAAATTACTCTCTACTTAACTAGATTCATTTTTGTGAAAGGCTGTTTTTGTTAAACTATGATAATATTATGTTTGGTTTTGCAGATAGTTGAAATGGAATTTAATTTTTCACACAGGTTTTCTAAGCTTCTAAGCGTTTATCATTTCTAGAACGATACATTTTATAAAACACCAAAATGACTATTTTATACCGCATGGCCTCCCTACACTAAATTACGAATAAAACAGTAGCGAAAAAATGTCATTAAAGCAATGATCATTAATGTGTGTCTAATAAACAAGGAATTAAAATATAAATATATTCATGGTTATATGGACGTCAAATATCGTGCGGTATTAAACTTTACCGATAATCTGACGTCCACATATAGAAATATAACAAAATTCAAAAATATGGACGTCAAATATCATTCAGTATGAATGTTTTAAGATATTCGCACGTCCATATTATTAGATGTAGCTAAATTTAAGGACACGAAAACAAATTGGAAAGTAAAATTATCTACTAGCACTGAGTATAGTATACACCGACAAAAAATACCAAAATATGCCTTGAGCACTAAATAAATAATTAAAATAAATAAATAGTAAAATGCAATAATCAACAATAACTTTGGACATTGGATATCGAAAAAGTGGACATCAAATAAATCTTAGTGTGAATATTTTAGGATATTCTTACGTCCATATATGGGTTAATACTCCGTTCAATGTCCATGTCAAGTACATTAATCAACTTACACAAGTTTATTTACCCAAGTTACTAAATATAACCAAAGAAACTTAAATGCAAGCAAGCAGAAGCGTGGAAAGTTCTCAATGTGCGTAGGTCACAATACGGACGCCAATTAGAGCACAATATGCATGTTTTTAGTAATATAGTGTCCAATATTTACAACAACAAACACAAACAAATTGTATTTCAATTAACTGCAAAACCAAACATAATATCATAATTTAACAATAATATCCTTTCACAAAAATGAATCTAGTTAAGTAGAGAGTAATTTTGTACAGATTAGGTAAATAATTCGCACTCATCCATAAGATAGTGATCATAAAACGTAAACTCGCAGTGAGAGCACCAAAACTCAATACGAGCAAGTATGTAAATAAATTATATTTTCGGAGTTATTCATGTCAGCAACAATACGCTACAGAAATTAACAACCTGTCAATGTCTACAATTAGTACTTATTTACTTAGTAAAATAAACAATAATATAGTCAATCTATAATGTACCACGGCTGGGCAATCCTAGATATTTTTTCGTATTTAGTAAACGAATAACTAGTTGGTAAATTAATAATGATATCTATCTATTTTTTTTTCGCCAGAGACAAAAATGATATTGCGTATTTTTCGTAACTGCACATTCTGTGTATTTATTTCATTATTTTGAACAATATACGAAACTTAAGTGACTAAAATTAAATCTAATCTGAACCAGAATCATAAAAACTATTATTCGTGCTAAACAAATCTACCTAATAAAGATCTGTTATTTTTATCTCCTGCGAAAAAAACAAACTATGGGAATCTATCAAGTACCTAGGTACATAAACAAAATATCACCTATAAATAAAATATTACAAAGCGGAATAACCAATAAGAGTGGCAACGTCGCACCATACAAAGGAATTGCGTTAAGCAGAATGAATTAAAAACTATGTATTTTACGGGGATTCCGGATAATTGGTAATATGGAAGGGAGTCCTGATTGGTTTCCTTCCGTCTGCCAATATACGAATATTTGTATAAAGACATATGGTAAATTTGTCCTTAAAATTATTCAATGGACCAATATTCGCTGTCATAATGTAAAAAATTGCCTACAAGTGGTGGACGCTACAATAATGTGAAATGAAAGGACGTAGGATTAATATTGTGATGTGTATATATATATATATATGTGTGTGTGTGTAAATGTGTAAGTTTGTTTATATATTTATATACATGTGTATGTATATTTATACATATGTTTTATTATATTTTTATTATATTTTAGCAATTTATATAATTTCATGTATTAGTTATTTGTATGTTATTTTATTGCATGTATTGTCTATAAATCGCGTGTATTATTATATTATGTCATATTGCACCACCTACCTAGTTCTCACTGTTATAATCCTTACACCTTTGGTTGCCTGGAAGAGATCGCTATGTAGCGATAAGGCTGCCAAATTGTACTTACATAATATTATAATCTGCTTTGTGTTTTGTTATCTGTATATTTGTTTGTGGTGTACAATTAAAGTATATTCATTCATTCATATTCATAGTCATTTGTATATCTAATTATGTATGTATTTAAATATGTATACTTGTGTGTATATCCATTTACAGTGGAGCCCCGGTAATCCGGCCCCTGGCTAATGCGGCACCCCCTATAATCCGACATCGTCTATTACATACATGTATTCGCTAATGCACAATTGAATTGCGACTGAATTGTCACAACTTGTACACAACATCACTATTGTGCTCGACGCGTAGGGTATTGTTTTGATTCTGATTGCTTATTTTAATTATTTTAGTACAAATGTACATTTGTTTGTACACAATTATTTCCCAATGTAAAGTTATTGCAAGTTTTTTGGTAAATTTTATAGCATTAATGAAGTTAATTTTATAATAAAACGTTATCTTTCTATTGTGTTGTTTAATTTACTAAATTTGACATACATATTGAATTGTGATGAATGATTTGTAATCTTATTATTGGATCTGTGATTTGTTGGATTACAAGGTACTCTTTTGTAAAAAAAATCGGACTAAAGGGTGTCTTAGACAGTACTCCATAATCCTACAAATTCGATAGTTCGACACTGTCCTGCAAAGTGTTTGTCGGACTACCGGGGATCCACTGTATTTATATATTTGTATATATGTAAGGACAGATCATATATGTATAGTTTATTCATTAGTAGTTTATATATATTATGTATTAATTATCATTTGTATTGTGTTCTCTTATTCTATATTGCCACACCTACGTCAAATTCTCACCACTCCATGGGTTGACTGGTAGAGAATGCCTCAAGGCATTAAGTCCGCCCTTTGTATTCTTTTGTTTAAGGATGCAATAAAGAATAAAATAAAATAAGTAAATACTTAATTACCTGAGCTATACCTAACGCTTGTGCTGCAATTCCAATTCTGCCTGCATCTAATGTCATCATAGCTATTTTAAATCCGAAACCTGGCTCTCCCAAAATACTGTCCTTTGGTATCTCACAATCTTCAAAAATAAGTGAACAAGTTGATGAACCTCTAATACCTAATTTATCTTCCTTTTTACCTAACTCTAAGCCTTTAATCGGTTTAGGTACAATAAAAGCTGAGATGCCCTTATGTTTTAGGCTTTTGTCAGTTGTGGCAAACACAACAGATGCCTTGCTCTCATAGCCATTAGTAATCCAACATTTTGTACCATTAAGAATCCATTTATTTCCTGCATCTTTGGCAGTAGTAGATGCAGCTCCAGCATCTGATCCATTCCCTGGCTCTGACAATGCAAAGCATCCAACATTATCTCCTATAACAATAATATAGTATAAATTTTAAATCATTTATAAATTTACTGCTTCAGTCCTGTTATAATAATCAAGCAAGTTGAAAAAAATTACATTGCCAACACACCCATACAAAAAGGTGTTACAAAATCCTTTTTCTGTTTATCGGTACCCCATTGCATGACAGGACCAAGGTATAATGAATTATTTACAGACATAATCACTCCTGCTGAAGCACAGCCCCTTGATATTTCTTCTAAAGCTATAGAATATGCCAGATAATCTAAACCAGACCCTCCCAACTCTTCCGGAGTAGCTATTGCCATTAGACCAAGTTCACCCATTTTTTTAATAGCCTCAGCAGGATATTGATGATTTCTATCATATTTAGCAGCATTGGGTTTTAACTCTCCTTCAGCAAAATCTCTGCAGGTCTTAAACAACATTTGATATGTGTCAGGTAATGCCGAAAGCGAAGCTATGCATCTGTACTGCTTTGCTGAAGATGAAACTGTAACAAATAGATATATATTTAACATTAAAAATTAGGTATTTTAAACAAGTGTTTTAAATATCATATACAAAACTACAGAATATAGTAAAATTTGCTCCATAAACTCTATTCTTACCAAGCAAGTTTACACTTTTTGAGAAAATATTCAGCATTTTGGGTAAAAAAAAAACAAAACGCCTAGGTCAAAGGAAAAGTAAAAGTTGAATAACACACTCCACTTTTATAGTCTCTTTATTGACTAATTAAACCTTTATGTTATTATTTTAAGATGAGAAGTATAATTTATCTCTCTATTATCTGAATTTTTTTAATAAAAATAATTCAACCTTTGAACCTTTGCTTTGGTAGCAACCATAGATAAATAAATATGTAGCAAGCTACAGATACGACAGTGACTTTTAGTCAAGTTTCCCAACTACGCCTTTTGGCGCTGCAGTCGCCCATTTTGACAGATGAGTAATGACTATACAATGGGTGCGTTTGGCAGAAAAAAGCGCTAGCAAGCGCTTATAAGCGCTGAAATAGTTTTCGGCAAGGACATGATTGCTACTTCAGTAGCGCTGACACAATCCGCCATTTTGCTTATTTAATTTGTTTGTTTTGAAGTAGAGTTTATAAGTTGTTTTGCGCAATATTAGTTTTAAGTAATATAATGACATGAATAAACATATACATGTTATTAAAAATTCATGATTGGTAAGTTTTTAATATGAATACTTTACAAACATATATTTAAATTAGGTTAGGTTCCCCGGTTAAAACTAACATCGTGTCCTGGAGGAAAATAGCTACTTACGATTTGACAGCGCTTACCGCTTACGATCGCCATTTTGCTTACAAGCGCAAAATTGGGTGCGTTTGGCAGAAAAAAGCGCTAGCAAGCGCTTTTTTCTGCCAAACGTACCCAATTTTGCGTCCTATCTATCCTACCTATCGTCTATTTTGATCATATCCTAGACGGCCCCAACCATTACATCAGATTTGATAGACCACAAATCCTCGCGAAAGAACACCGATTCCTACCAAGGATGATACGTGAGGCTATTGAAATTAAAAAACATCCTAATTTCAATAGAGAAGGAGGCTGGGTACTACCACCTGCTTGGGATCCTATAATCAATAAAATTAAAACTAAACCCAAGCATACCACTGCAAGACCTCAGACCATAGTTCATTTTGCATAGATCGGACCATAAACAATAATTAAAAAAGCTGAAGGTACTCCGGGTTTAACAATGACATCGGGACGTCAGTCATCTCAGTCCCCCGTGACCATGGGTGCTGGAAAGCGCCCGAAACGTCGGGAATTAAAAATAAAATGTAAAAATAAACGCGATAAAATCCGTAAAAAGTAGTTTTAATCAAATAAAAATAAAGTTCAATATTCATATTTTATGACTTAATGATAATCGTAAATTACATATTATTTATATTAAGGTAACAAAGGGTGGCATCATGGCTGTTGCCATTTTTTATTGGTCAACCCATGGTGTGGTGAAAATAAAGTGGTAGATACAGTAAATAAGAAATAAAAAACATATAAAGATTAACACTGTATACATCCATTATCAGGAGATTTCTCAATGTCTTCAGGCACGGAGTTCCAAATATGTGTAACCTTAATACTAAAGGAGTTGTTGATAAAATCATTGAAGTGTAGTGGAACTGTAATCTTTAGATTAGATGAAGAACAAAGAACTCTTACCGTGATTTGAGGATAGATATGCTGAATATAGATATAATAGATATGTTGAAACTTACCTAATTATGTCTAAGAATAAACTGAATTTATCATACCTTTTTGCCAATGTGTACATTTTGTATCTTCTGTCAACATTTGTCTCACCACATCAGCATTAGATTTCTGTTCCTGAAAACCAACAATATTTGTGAATTTTGTTCTTGCTGGTAGCAACGATGTTTTTACAAAAGTACTCTATGCTCTATGGTACTCTATGTCAATGACCGAGACCGCCACAGAAGAGTTTTTGGCGGGAACTTGGCCGTCGACGGATTGTCGCTCCTGTTTTGTTGCTTGAATAATGGTTTGAAGTGGGTTTTAATTCGTAAAAATGATGCGATTTTGTGAATTAAGTGTTTACGCGTGTGAACTATTAGAGAAAACGACGAAACAAGTGCTTTGATGTTGATATAAACCTCAAGTTAATTTGATCGCTTGGGCGCCTTATGAACTTGAGTCTGTCGTCGAGAATGTCGTTGAGAATGTCGTCATCAACAGTCCACTGGGTTGAGCTGTCGTCGAAATCTCCCAAAAACTTCGTAATGTGACGCATCAGCATATTGTAAGGAAAAATATATAAAATGAAGATTATGAAAGAAATGATAGGCCTAGAAGAGCTAGAACCCAGAGCCGTAAAGCCAGTTAAATAAAAAATCACCACAGAACAGAATACTTTTTTTTATATTTTGGCAACCTTCGAGCGTTTTCAGATTATCCGTTATATTTGAGACGCAAAAGAGGATCTATCCACAGACAGTATTGGATACATGGAGTGTAGAGGTAAAGTTGGCTTTTCGCTATGGGATATAATATATCCCGAGATATAAATAATATCCCGCGATTGCCTTTCACACTGTGAGATATAATAATAATAATAATAAGTTCTTTATTTCCCAGAGGTTGTACATCAAGATATTTGCTTAACATTTAATAAAGCTACATTGGTACATATACCTGAAAACATAGCATCTGCAGCCGAACTAGGAGACCTGTGCATCAGCTGTCATATTAGGATGCAAGCAAAAGTTAAATAATCAAATACTATCTAAAAATTTTGTACCTTGTATCTTTTAACCAGTTTGCGTTCGTCGTTGGAAGATCTGAGGCCGTAGCGGAGGCACGGAGTGTGTGGGTGACACATACAGAGACCACGGAGGAGGTATTTTGTGTGCAGGAAGTTTCGGGGACAATAAATCCATCGAGCTAGGATTTATTTTTAGAAAATTTCTTTTTGTCCGTGTTTTTAGGAAATGAAAAATTGCTACAATATCGTTAGAATAAGAAGGTAAATTTTGACAGTTTATTAATGATTATAAATAGCTTAATTGGTATATTGGGCGGTCACATGTTAAAAATTTTTCTTGGTTGAAAATGTCACCGTGAAGATGACCAATCATTTCTATTTCCTTACTTTCACTAATCAATTCCTGTCTTTTAACAATTCTTATGTTTTTACCATCTGTAGAATCCATTTGCGGGGTAGAGGATATGAAATATAATATGAAAATATCGCTCGGTCGATCGAAAAAATATTTACAGTTTGAGATGTTATTTATAATACCTACATCTCAGTGTAAACGGTTCCAATTAAAAGTACGGTGAGCGATATTAATGTATATCTCGAGCTGTAATATAAGTTATCCCCTAATAAAACGCTGGGAGCTATAGTTCCCACCTTCTAAAATGTAGAAAATTTAATTTAATTTTTAAATGGTAACACTTAACACAATTATTATATTTCTGAACGCATGCTTAAGATGTCAGGGAGCCGTAGACAGAAAATGCTATAGACAAAGTGATATCTTTTATCGCAGTCACACAAGAGAAAGAGCAACTTACGCCGATGTCGTGTAAAAAAATGAGAACGATGAGATTTTTTTGTTTCGCTTAGCGTGTCGCCATTTTTAATATTTAGCAAACCACTTTGCTAAATAAAGTTTGACAGCCTACGTGTAGCGTGATAAATTCTTTGTTTAAAATACTGTTTTATGTGTTTATGATAAGTATTTCTTATTATATTTTGTTGTGAACAATTAAGACGTAGTATTCCAACCATTTTTATTTAAAACACGGTGCGGTGTAGTATATTAGGGTGTAAAAGTGATAGTGAAAGGAAAATGGCGGGGTTGTCTTTTCATTCGTAAGTATACCATACTATCGGTTACTAGGCAGTCTATAACATTTAATAAAATACATACATTGTGTATAATGTACTCTAGACGTAAATTTATCGCTAAAAAGTACAAAAATAACAATTGCAAATTTTAACCTAAAATCTTCGGTGTGGCCAACTTTTCTATAAGTTATTACCTACTATTATAGGAAATAATAATATCTGCGTACCGAAGGTGTATTATCCTAAGTCCATTTTTTTCGACATTCACTTTGTAATGTCATTGAAACAAAAAAATAACGATCTACTTGGTGGTAAAGTATTTTTAAGTCCAACTAAAAAAACTACATGCTTTCGAACTCGTTAACATGTTTTAAATCCAGGTTAATTCAAAGGTCTCAATTATCAAAAACAAAAGCATCCTAAGTCCAAATAAGATGAGAAGTTTGTTTTTGAACGTAAGTTGCACTTTATTATTTGTATTTATTTATTGTATTATGTAAATTGTGCCTTTGGCTGCGCTTGAAGAGGGTGTTCCAAGCACATCTCAAGATGTACCAAATTCTATATGCCAGAATAATTTACAACAAATTCATACTTAATAATCTACCAAAAAAATAAAAGATCGGAATAGAAGTACAATAGAGCAGACAGGAAAAAAGCGAATAAGAAATGTTCTTAAGCTTACATGAACAAAAGTGCTGCATGTAGCACGAATTCCCGCATGAAATGCAGTACTAAAATATCCCAGCAGAATAAGAAAGAGATATTTACTTTTTATTGGGATCCAGAAAAAGACTACAATGTTAAGAGGTAATTCATAGTATCATGTGTCCAGTCAAAACCTACAACTAGACAAAGACTGAGATCAGGAGATGAATCTAAGTTAGGATCAAATACTTTAGTGTATTCTTTGTTGTTAATGGTATAACAACAGCAATCTGTAAGACAATGTTTCTATATTTCCCAACAAGTGGTTAAGACTGAGATAAGAGGGATGTATTGTTGAAAGTGACAAAAGGGGGAAACATAAACCATCTAACTAAACGGATCCTGAAACTATTAAATCTGTTTTGTCCCACATTTCGTCTCTCCCAAAGTATAAATGTCAATACAATCGTGAGAGATCAAAGAGATGTTATTGAACGAATGTACGATCTTTACAAATTACTTTATACTTGTGACAATTGCGATATGTTTTCAGCAAAACTTAAAGGGATGTAGGATGGCACTGAGAAACAACTTCTGTAAATAGAAAAAGATTTACCTTTAATTATTGAAGCTGATAATAGGTACAAACATAAATCGCAGGATATGTCTGAATCAAAATACAGACCTAAAATGGGGTTAATTTCTATAGGAGAAAAATTTGGATATTAAATTGCAATATTTATGATGGTTCTGACAATTCTGCATTTCTATTTATGTGGGATGAAACTAAAGCTCAAAGGGATGGAAACTAAATAGCTTCAAACATCTTAAGCTGGGCATCTAAAAATGTACCAGGATCAGATATTGAACAAATGACCATATCAGTCAGTGACCAGGTCAGATAACTGTTACGTGCAAAATAAGAATATTTATGTTGTCATGTGCATGTTTTTCCTTCTTAAAAATTTCTCAGTTCAAAGTTATATATATTATAAGCAGATACAATATTAAGAGAAGATGTAAAAACTTACCTACACTTATAATAACACCTTGGGACTGGCAACAATTTATTCCGCTATGTTTTTACAAATATACAGTCAACAATATGGAACTTGAAGATTTTAATATTTATTATTTACTAATGGTCCTTTTATTAATAGAAAAGTAAATATTGATAAGGAACCATTTCAAATTTCAAAGTCAGTTACTTTGCAAGTTAGAAAAGAAAACTGGGTATTTATTTTATAAAAATTCATTTGATAATCAAAATTTTAAAATGACAGACTTAAGGCGTCAGAAGAGGAAGGAGTTGAATTTTCCAGGAAGTTTACAAAATATGAACCAAAACTTAATTTCAATTTCAGCCAAAAAAATATAAAGATACCAAGATTTACATTCATATTGAATTGCCGTCATATTGTCATGACTATTATAAAAAATTCCACAATCTTCCACTGCATCGGACTTTCCCGACGACGATAATGCTTATGAATAGTAAACAAAACTTGTGATTAATGAAACATGATTTTCATTGTGCCTTGAAAAATACAGTCCACTTAGCTCTCCATCAACTACAATAGATATTAATGATAATCGTTAATAGCAGTGTTCCATTTCAGGCTTACTTCACGGACTAATTTCTAATTTTATAGCTAGTTGTGGGGTAAATTTTTCCTCACACTTGTAACCCTAAATATAGTGACGTATTTTCTTTTGTCCCTTTCTGCGACACGCTATGGCGGAGTCTATAGGATTCTCTGTCTACGCAGGGAGCCTTATTACTGGCAACACTTTTTAGAAAAGTGTCATGTCTTATCAAATACGACGTCAAAGTCAGGTGTAGTGATTTGGCGGCCCAAAACGACGTTTTTTTTTCAAAGTTTTTAGTGTAGTGCTGAAAAAAAATTAGGTAAGCAGATTTGATTTTGAGATATGCAGACTAGACTATATTTAGGTTGTGTAAAACATAAAACTTGTCCAGAAGCTTTTGTTTGCAGCTTGGGAAACTTGACTGAATTTGAGTCTATAAGTGGGAAGATATTATCCCAGTGTTCGTCATTGCTCTCTGAAAAATATGTATATATAAAATCTGTCTGTCCATTGATCGAATGAAGATTATTATGTGCATTTTATCAGTTATACTATCCGTTTATTTCGTGATCAGATAATTAGACAAGTGTTTTATTACATTATAAAGATTCTTTATTTACTTTGTTTTAGAAAAAAATGCTGCCGAAAAAACTTACTTACAAGGCGATTCAAAACCTTCTAGATAATGATGATTGGTCGGATATTGATTCTGATGATAATTTAGTTTACGGTGATTTTATAATAAGTCCTTCAAGGTCATTTTTGCAACAAAATGAGGAAGATAGAATCGAGATGCGGCTTGAAGAGATATTTGGAGTGAATGATTTGAGTGAAACAGAACATGAAGAAATTACAAATACAGTACAACCATGTGAGAATTTACTAGATATATTAGACTCGGAACATAATATACAAAGTGAGGCACTGCTAGATGGAACAGGGCTAGATAAAATTCAAGAAAATGTCACCACCGATGATCCTCTTCAACAAGTAGCCATTTCTAAACATGTTGGGCAAAGCGGCAGTATCATAGAAGAGAATTTAGTAAGGGAGGAGGATTTGCAAGCCCTACCAAGTTCTACAGTGCCAAGAAATAGATCTCAGCCACGGAAATGGAAAATGTGTAGAACGACTCATAACATTCCAAACTTTGACAGAAAATTTCAACCTAAGTTTGAATTCAACCACAAATCTCAACCAATAACCATTTTTGAAAATTTCTTCTCGGATTATTTAATACAAGTGATTGCTGAACAAACAAACAGATATGCCTACTACAAACAAAGTAAAAACTGGGTTCAAGTCAATGAACATGATATCAAAGCATATTTAGGTATTCTTATTCTAATGGGCTTGAATCCATTACCAGACATGGAACTTTATTGGTCAAGTGATCCCTTCTATAACAACCCTGAAATTTTTCGTGTATTTCCAATAGCAAGATTCAAGAAAATAACAGAAAATCTTCATCTTAATGACAACAGCATCGAACCCTTAAGAGATTCACCAAACTATGATAAATTATATAAATTGAGACCATTGATCACAACATTGAATGAAGTATATCAGAACGAGGCATACAATTCAAGTGTACAGTCAATCGACGAGTGCATGGTGAAATTTAAAGGCAGGTGCTCATTAAAACAATATATGCCCAAAAAACCCATTAAAAGGGGGTTTAAAGTGTGGGCCAGATGTGATGCAAAAACGGGATACTTATACCAATTTCAGATATATACAGGAAAAGGTGATAGTATTCAAGATGAAGGTCTGGGCTACAATGTTGTGATGAAACTTAGTGACAACCTCCCTATGAATACATTACTAGCCTTTGACAATTTCTTTACTGGTTGCAATTTGATGGAAGACTTATATGATAAACATATTTATGCTGTAGGAACAGTAAGAACAAATCGAAAAAACCTCCCGGAAATTATAAAAAAGCAACCAAAACAGTTAAAACTACAAAAGCATGAGTTCTCAGTGATGACATCAGAACCAATAACAGCCATAAAATGGCTTGATACAAAAGACGGTTACATTGCTAACGACAGCACATCAACCATTGGACATCACATACGTAAAAAGAACTCAAAGAGATGGTACAAGAGCAGAGATTCTTTGCCCGAGAGCAATTGCGTCTTACACAATGAGTATGGGTGGGGTTGATTTGTTTGATCATTATAGATCTTCTTATCCAATCAACCGAAAATCAAGAAAATTTTGGATGCGTTTATTCTTTTTTATGTTTGATGCATCCATCATTAACTCATATATAACTTATGGTGCAACACATGTCACTACAGGACATTCACATAGTGAATTTGGACTACGTTTGGCACGAGCGCTAATAGACAACTATACTACAAAGAAAGTACGCCCTAGTGTACCCTTTACAAGCAAGAAAGGGGGGGTTTTTGGAGTGCCAGAAGAGATTCGATTACTGAATGTAGGTATACACATACCTCAAGAAAGTGAAACTTATAAGAGATGCCGATTCTGTAGCACAAAAAGAAAGGAGAAAAGGACAAAATTTTTGTGCTCTACATGCACCATACCGCTGTGCATCAAAGGATGCTTTCAAGACTTTCATACTGCTGCAACAGAATAGACGAAGATTACTTTAATTTTATAAATGAGAGATAAAAGACCAGGAGCTCAATTGTCATGCAGTCGAATAAAGTTCACATTCGTAAAAAAGTTCCAAATATGAATTCTCCTTTGGAATTATTCAAATTGGAACTATTTTACGAATGTGAACTTCATTCGATTGCATGAGAATTGGGTCCCTGATAATTATAGTCCGATTAATGTGATAAAAGAGTTCCTAATACGTAACAAGATTATTTGTCAAGTTATATGAATAAATAAAATTCTATGATTACATTTATTTTATTTACTAACCGAGAGCCAAAAAGTGCAAGTACTCATCAGTACAAATAAGTTACTATCTATCTATCTATAAGAAATACTTATCTATAAAGCCGCAAAAGTAAAATTAGTTAGTATAGTACCCATTTTTTAATTTGGAGTTCTTTCCTGAGTAAAAAAAAACTTACTTGCATTGATGAGTTCTTTTACATTAACAATCACGTTTTATATAAAATTGGGCATTGAAATTTATTACCCAAGTGAAGCAGGGGCAACTAACTAGTGTTATAAAATATTAATGTCTTATCGGATAATGGGAGCTATGGTTCCCACTTTTTTCTAATTTGAAATTTGCAGGGATAGATATCGGGATATATACTTCCCACCAAAAAAGTAGTACTTCCCCCCATTTACCCCTATTTTTTGTAAATTTTTGAAATCTGCGACCCATAATTACCTAGAAATGGATCTTACTTTTTTGGCAACTCCTTCAGGGGCTGGCGTTTGAATAAGGGTTAAATCCCATATTGAAAAGTGGGGGACAAGCATCGCACATACTCGAACATTTAATGTCCATGTTGGTTAGATTTTGATGTGGATTAAAAACAAAGTGGAACCCAGAACACTGCCCTGTAGAACTTCGAATGTTAAATCTAATTCATCGCTTAAGTATCCACCTATCTTTACTTTTTGCTTGCGATCCTTAAGATAGTCTTTAAATAAATCTAAGTGGGTACCCCTTATATATGTTAAAACACTGGGATGGCTAAGCGAATAAGCCCAAAATTGTCAATGTAACAGAACTGTTAGGTAAACAACTAGTTACATAAATAGTTTCAATCTTGATTCATGGCCTGTAATCAAACATAATAAATCTTGTCTACGTGATTTCTTTTTCAAAATAGCACCATTTACTGCGTAATTTTATTTTCTCTTTTTTTTTTTGAAACCATCGACACCTATATAATATATTATTACATATTACACCTATATACATGATTATAAGATTAATAAATTATAAAACCATAGAGTAACATATTATATAAGAATAATAAAATTTGTGGGTAATCGTAACATCGTTATAAACTATAAAAGGTACTGCTGTGTCTTAGTGGGGGTTCAGTTGTGAGTCTCCTGCCTACAAGTTAGTTACTCTGCTCAAATCTGTGCTCATTTACATTAAGCAAGGAATAATACATAATTACTGTGATTCGTTTGATCGAGTGAATAAAAAGTGCTACTGTGTAATCTGTATTACTTCATATCTACTAATTAAAATTAAACTAGTTTTTATATATTTTAATTTTGATGAAACTACTGACGCATTAGTGTTTTTATTGCTCGATATAAACACATTGTCGAAAGTAGCCGTAGCCAACTTTTTGATTAAATTTGAATTAAAATCTTAGTTTAATCAGTCTTTCAAAAACTTGCCATAAATATATTTACTAATAAAATGATAATTTTATACACCAATAAATGATAATTTATTACACCAAAAACCCTTCAACAGTGGCTGGCCGTATGAGGAAGCTCATTACGGAGACGGCTATGCTAGGGGTTTTCTGCATGATAAACATAGAAATAAGGATATTCACAGTAGAACCAGAGAGACCAACATTGCCCGACGGAGTAGTAAGCTGAAGTAGCAGCTGGCCATATAGTTGTAAGAATCGACAACCGATGGGAGGAAAGGCTCTCGAGTAGCAGCCTCGTACCTCGTAAAATGCAAGGCGACCCCCCAATAGATGGAGTGATGACCTGGTAAGACATGCAGGAAGTCGATGGATGCAGGTGGATCAGAACCGTGCTTGGCACCCTTTGGGGGAGGCCTATTTTCAGCAGCGGGCTCGTGAAAGGCTGTAGGTAATGCCCCTATTACACCACCCTGAATCAGGGCCCTGAATGAAGAGTGGGCGTGGCCCCTAATTGGGGACGTCAGTTATTACACTACCCTAATTTTACTTCCTTACTCAGTCATAGGAATGGACAAGTGAAAAAAAGTATATATATATATATATATATATATATATATATATATATATATATGTATATATATATATATATATATATATATATATCCATTAACTTGAATACAGGTTTACTTCAAAAGTGATACTAATTTGAAAATGAAAGTAAGAAAAGTGTTTTTTCCCCAATTTTTTGCAAAGGTGTGATAATTATAAATTAAAGCCTTCATTCCAAGTACTATTTGTTTTACATGTACGTTAAAGCATATTTAATTATAATTTTTTTTCATAAATTTTTTGTTTACGACAAGGTCGAGAGAGGCCTCACTTAGCTCTACTCGATATCGAGACAAAAATAAGTAGGTTCACAAAAAAAACCCAAAAAAACATTATTAAATCAAATTTAGACAAAATCATATGTATGTTAAATACTCGTATATCATATATATGTTACAAATAGCTTGCTATCACCCGACGCCATATTATGGCGTTTGACAGATGCGCATATTATTTGAGACGCCAGAATATGGCGTTTGGACAGACGAGGGGATATAAAAAAAGACAGTTGTACTTCTGAAGTTCAATTATATTTATTTTCGGCTGAAAGACTATTTGCCTGTTTGTTGATTCTTAATTAAAATTTTCGGGATTGAGTTATTTCTTCTACATACTCGTAAACCTTTTAACTTTAAAAATTTAGACGTTATCTAACTTTGATATATTATATTGTTTCGAATATTTATTTTTTGGCAATATAAAATTCGTGATAATCATCGTTCGCAACTTTTAACATACGGAATTTTATACCTTCGAATAGTTGGTTAGGTATTTCGTAACCTTGGACGGCAAAACATCGTTCATAAAACATAGCTCATGAAGAACCATGTCTATGAACGATATATCGATGTTTGAAAGAATTGATGTATCATTTGCATCCCTAGTCGCGCATCGAATAAGTGCCTTAACTTCCTTAGTGTTATTACACTGCACGGTGGACCTGCAGACCGGGTCCATTTTGACGTCCTAATTATGGGCCTTTACTCGCTTTCTCTTATTACATCACCCTGAATCAGGGCGTAGGGATCCTGATTTAGGGTAGTGTAATAGGGATATAATGAATGAAAAAATACTAAAAATCATTTTTACCAACGCTGAATTCAAGCTGACCTTATGCGGATTTGTTTATCGATAAAAATATCGACATAGTCCTCACCTTACGTTGCTTACGCATGTAGAGAGCGTCACCAGTGTATCGACACGTGTAAAATTTGATGGTATGCGTAAATGCAATGAACACAAATACAAGAGCTGTAGTGTGCGTGTATAGTGACGCGATTCAATTTTGCGTTTGTAGTGAAGTATACAGCAGTGTCACCTAATTAGAAAAAGAGTTAGATTGCCGTGTAGTGGCAGTTGAGAATATCCACTACCCCATATCTTCCCGTGGGTGTCGTAAGAGTCGACAGAGGTAGACAGGCAGGAGACGGGCAGCAGCATCTTCCTGATAACAACAGTGATATAATAAAAAAACTGCGGTTGCCAACCCAAGCGTGGGAACTATGTCAAATATCCCCCCATTAATAACGACGAAAAAAACGGCCCCCAGTCCCCGGCGGCCCTTTTCCTGGCTATGGTGCCGACCATGGTAACGGCGGGGCAGAGGGTGCTAACCTCATCAACACTCATTCGTGAAAGAGGTTCGGTTGCCACCTACGACGACTCGACCTGGTAACATATAACGCACGCATCCTGAGGACTGACGAGAAGATACTGGAGCTGGAAGAAGAGGTAGACAAGTTGCGCTGGCATATTTAACATGGTAATCCTCGAGTCCGGCAACTTGTTTTCTCACCGGGAGGGCGACCATCTGTCCCAAGGAGGTATTGGATTTATCGTCCACAAGTCTCTCGTCAATAACGTTGTAAAGACTGGGAGTGTGTCGACGAGGGTCACGTACCTGATACTCAGAATCACCAAACGGTATTCGCCGAAGGTCATACAGGTTGACGCACCAACCTCGGAACATCCCGATGAGGAGGTGGAGGAAATGTATGAGGATATTTCCAGAGCCATGCATTCCTCCAAAAATCACTACACGGTGTTGGTGGGAGACTTCAACGCAAAACTAGGCACAAGAGAAAACGATGAGCTGAAGTTAGGGAAATTTGGAGTAGGGCAACGGAACCGAAGGGCCAGCAGCTGGCCGACTTTATGGATAAAGAGGGACTCTTTATGATGAACTCTTTCTTCCAGAAGCGGCCCCACAGGAAGTGGACCTGTTCGAGCCCCGACGGTTCGACAAAAAATGAGATTGACTTTATTATGACGACCAGACGTCAACTGTTCTGTGATGTTTCAGTGATCGCAAGGGTGAAAACTGGCAGCGATCACCAAATGATTAGAGGCACACTGAACCTAAACGTTAATTTTTAGATGTCTCGTCTAATGAAGTCAACGCTCCGTCCCCCTCATGCTGTAAACCAGAATCCCGAAACCTTTCAGCTCGAGTTACATAACCGCTTTCAGTGCCTAGAAGATTGCAATGCAGTGGACGATGTGAATGACAAGCTCGCGGAAACTGTCCATGCGATCGGAGCTAAGTTCTGCAAGACCCGTCGCAGGAGAACACAAAAACTCTCCGATCACGATCTTAATCCATGGTTGTTAGACGGGAGGAGGCTGCAATCCTCAACAGATTTGACAGCATACAGGCAACTGAACAGACAGATCTCTAAATGCATGCGGCGAGACTTACGCAACTTTAATACTGCTCGTATTAAAGAAGCGATCGAGCGGAACCAGGGCTCCAAAGTCTTTGCCAGAGATCTGTCTGCTAGAAAGAGCAAACTGACAAAGCTGAAGACTGAATGTGGCAGCATCGTTTCCATGACACCTGAGATTTTGAGTGAGATTGAGAGGTTGGAGCCACACGCAAGTGTGAGTAACGATCCAAGAGCAAGTCTTATCCGATACTATTCCGATGATATCCCGGACGTCAGTCTGAGCGAGATTAGAATGGCTCTCCAGCACTTTAAAAATGGCAGGGCCCCAGGCGAGGATGGAAATACAGCGGAGCTTCTAAAAGCGGGTGGAACACCGGTACTTGAAGTCCTTCAGAAGCTCTTCAATTCCGTCCTCCAAGGTGGCACTACTCCGGAGGCGTGGAGCAGAAGTGCGGTGGTCTTGTTCTTTAAGAAAGGCGACATCGCTCTCTAGAAGAACTACAGACCGATTTCCCTTCTGAGCCGCGTCTACGTGCTGTTTTCGAGAGTCATTACGAATCGTCTCGCACGCAGACTCGACGACTTCCAGCCTCCCGAACAAGCTGGTTTCCGAAAGGGCTTCAGTACCATAGACCACATACATACCCTGCGGCAGATTGTACAGAAGACCGAAGAGTACAATCTGTCACTTTGCCTGGCGTATGTGGATTATGAGAAATCCTTTGATTCCATCGAAATTTGGGCGGTGCTACAGTCCCTTCAGCGGTGCCGAGTTGACTGTCGGTATATCGAAGTGATGAAGTGTTTGTACAGTAGGGTTACGATGGCTATCCGAGTACAGAACCAGAGTTCGAAACCTATCCAACTGCAGAGAGGTGTAAGACAGGGTGACGTTATATCCCCGAAACTCTCGCCGTTGAATACTGGACTGGAAAGGATACGGTATTAACATCAATGGCGAGTACATCACTCACCTTCGATTTGCCGACGATATAGATCCTTATGGCAGAATCGCTGGAGGACCTTAGCACTATGCTCAATGACCTCAATGGTGTCTCCTAACAGATAGGTCTTAAGATGAACATGGATGGATGTTTAATGTCCATGTCACATCTATGCCGGTAGTTGTTGGGAGCACTATGCTCGAAGTTGTTGACGAGTACGTTTACCTGGGACAAATAGTCCGACAAGGTAAGTCCAACTTCGACTGAGAGGTCAATCGACGGATTCAACTCGGCTGGGCCAGGCTCTACTGGGACCGGGCCATCATCACGGATAGGACTATTCTTGCAAATAAGCCTGGTATTGTGCTGATGGACCGGGTACAGTCAAGAATATTTTTGGTCGACATTACCATTCCGTATGACGAGAACCTTGTGAAAACCGAAACAGATAAGTGAACAAAATATCTGGACCTGGCTCACGAGGTGGCCGACATGTGGGGTGGTCTGCCGACCGAAATTATTCCTGTAGTCGTCTCTGCAAACGGGCTAATCCCAGTCAGCCTCTCGGGTCATCTGAGGTGGCTGGGACTACGTAGCGGACTGATCCAGGCTCAAATGCAGAAGGCGGTGCTCCTCGATACCGCCCGCATCGTCCGCCGGTTTCTTTCCCTTTTTCCCTAACCCTCGGTCCTTTGGTCTCTCCTGCCGAGGGCCTCCATCTGGTTGGGCTTTTATTTACTAATGTATTTTTATATTTATTACATTTTATACATTTATAATTATATATTTATAGAACCCAACCAGATGAGAAAACTATATAGATACTCCCCATAATAATAATAATAATACGTAATAATAAACAGCGTAGCAAAATGACCACCCCATCGCCCGCTGACGTAACAGTTATGTGACGCAACTTCTACGTCGGCACAGTTAGTCAGCGCCCTGCCAAGAAGTGTGAGCGCCGTGCCTAGGCAAAATTGTGGGTGCAAAGGTCCGTTTGTGTATATGACTGAACCACGAAACGGTGCCGGGCTTGGGCGTCTCCCGTTATCTGGCGCCCATAAAATGGATGATGGCACAAAGAGGAACGCGCATAGAACCGCTGCCTGGGGGTCGCCGGGGCGCGTCTGGAACTGGCGCTGGACGCGGCAGCATGCTGGCTGCCAGCTGAGCGCAAGGAGCTGCACGATCACCTAGCAGCCCCCTGCATCCATCATCCCCACCAGAAGGCTTGGTGTTGGCTGGGTCTTCTCGGACTCAGCAAGCGGCACCCGCCGCTGGTGGAGCACGTCGCATGCGTTGGACAAAAGCTATGAACGAAAACGCATTGCGGGCTTACTATAGGGCGAAAGGGGAAGAAACTGTGGGGATAGTGTATAGGACTCGGATGTATTGCTTTTGTGCTGAGCTGGAGCCGTCTATTCCCGTCACGGAACAAAACTTGGCAGACCGAGTTCGGTACATCATGCGCTAAAAATATTTGATGATGCCAAACTCGAACGACTGCGACATGAGGCTATTCCATCATCGAATGAATCGGCAATGGCTGGAGATGTAGCTCCACATGCGACAGACCAGCATCAACACGTGGAAGCCGCCATGGATCTTCCAGTGGTGGTTAATTCGGACGAGGATGAGATAGTCTCCCACGAACTAGAGCAAATGAGGAGCATATTGGAAGAGGTGATTTTGGAAACGCGCAGCTTGCCTCTCGAAAATCGACTTCCCCGCATGGGTATGCTTAGGGGTCTAAGCAAGCGAAATCGGGCTGTCGTGAGGGCTCTTAACCTAATGCTGGTGACCTATTTGGAATCCAGTCGAGACTTTTGCGAGACGGACTCAATTCTTTTTGGCGACGCAGTGGCAGTTTGCCGTATTATTGGCGCCAAACTCCCCATGGCTGGACGCGCTACTAGACAAAGTAGCGCCATCCCAGCCTGGAGAAAAGGAATCGAGGACCGCGTCGCAAAGGCAAGGGCCCTTATCGACAGACTGACAAGCTTCAGGTCAGGTAATAATAGACCGAGGATTATGCGCACCGTGAGAATGGCGTTTGCTGGGACAAATATCAGTTTGTCTCAGCCGAATATCACGCCGAAACTACCGGAGCGCATGGATGACCTGAAGCAAAAAATCGTTGCTTGGGGGAGGCGGATTCTACGATTTACCGAGAGGTCAAGGCGGTTCAACCAGAATCGTCTCTTCCAGAGTGATCAGAAGAGGCTCTATAAATCATTGCAGCGACCAGAGGTAAGTGGAGCGGGCTCAGGATCGGACCAGGCTGACATTATCGCATTCTGGCGTGACCTGTGGTCAGAGCCCGTAAACCACAGCGAAGGCCCGTGGATGGAAGTTGTGGCGAACCAGGGTGCGAGTGTTACGCCTATGGACCCCATAGCCATAACGCCGGAAGACGTGGCTGAGGCAGTCCGTAGGGCCCCGAACTGGAAAAGTCTGAGGTTCTACGGGCTGCATCATTACTGGCTGAAGGGGTTCATAGTGTGTCATGCTGAGCTCGCCCGACAGTTTCCAGAGGCTCTCGACCAGAAGTCGCTCCCGAACCTCTTCACTACTGGGATCACTCACTTGGTTCCTAAAGATCAGGGTACCACAGACCCGAGCAAATACCGCCTCATCACATGTCTACCCACCATATATAAGACACTGACATCCATTTTGAGCGCGAGAATCACTCGTCACCTGGAGCTAAACCAGGTGATGTCACGCGCTCAAAATACATGTCGGGGCGGTGGTCGTGGAACCAAGGAACCACTCCTCATTAACGCGGTCATTGGCAAAGTGGTGAAACGCAACCGTCGGAACTTCTCCGCCGCCTGGATAGACTACAGAAAGGCGTTCGACTCGGTGCCCCATATATGGTTAAAGAGGGTCTTCGAGCTTTACAAGATTGACTGTACAGTTAGTCCCGTCTAGGATATGATCACAAACTGCAGACTTCCCGGAACGTTGATGCTTCACATCAGCTATATGTTCTTTTACGCGGGTCCTAATTGATCTTTTTGTTTGACCTATATAAGAGAGACCACATTCACAAGCTTGTACATAGTCAGTTCATTTTGCATAGATCGGACCATAAACAATAATTAAAAAAGCTGAAGGTACTCCGGATTTAACAATGACATCGGGACGTCAGTCATCTCAGTCCCCCGTGACCATGGATGCTGGAAAGCACCCGAAACGTCGGGAATTAAAAATAAAAGTAAATAAAAAGTAAAAATACGCGATAAAATCCGTAAAAGTAGTTTTAATCATTATCTATACCCGTCAACTTAAGGACCCTTTCCGAGGCTGAAACATACCGATACCTGGATATGTCACAGAACATCGGTATCGATGAGGCTGGTATGTAACAGTCAGTTTGCGACGTGTATTATGCACGCTTGACCAAAGTGCTCAACAGTCCTTTGTCCGGTGTGAATAAGACACACGCATATAACGGCTGGGTCTTGCCTGTCCCCATGTATACCTTTGGCATACTTAGGTGGACTCAGACTAAACTTAACACCCTGGATAGAAAAGTCCGCACTACCGTGACGTCCCATTGGATACATCATCCGAGATCGTCTTTAATGAGGCTGTACTTGTCGCGAATGCATGGTGGGCGTGGCTTCCTGAGCGCGCTAATTAAGTTGACGACAACGACTTTATTAAAAAATAATTTATTTATACAAAGTAGCAGCGTTACGACTTATAATTACTTCCAAAACTAAATTCGTCTTACAGTTAACTTAGTCTAGTATTTATATTGAAATATATCTTACTAAGCAACCCGTGCTATGACGCACGGCCTTATTCTTATTAGTGCTTGTGAAGTAGATATTAGAGGGGTCATCACACTTAACCTCTCCCTCCCCAAGAGAAAAATTATCCGAAGGAGATGAAGTTGACTTCGGAGAATTTTGTCTCTGACTCAAGCTATGAAATTTCCATTTAAGTACAATAACAATTATAATTAACAGTGCCACAACATAAAGACTTAAAGTCCATATACTTATTTTATTCGTCACTATAGTCCGTTCGCGTTAAGAAAATAGTGAGTCATCAGTGCAACTACAGGGTAAAGGTGTAATCACAGTGGAGTAAAAATTCTTTTTTTTTTTCAAACATTTAATTAAATTTAATGGAAACAAATTTTCTTAAAATTACTTAAATCAATAATCAGTATCGCTAGATTCTCCAGTTACATTAATTATGAAAGAATTTTGTTCTGCAAGTTCCATGATGTCATTCACATTCCACATGGTATTTTCTTCGCGTATCACGTGGTCGTAGCACTTCTTCCTACGATTAGTGTCTATGCTATTGCGTCATCCAATATTTTTTATGTCACTCATTTTGAACGTGGAGTTACTGGCACCAACATAATTTTTTATTTGGGCCTAAACCAATTCAATTGGATTAAGTTTGCAATGGTAAGGCGGTAGGCGAAGAATTGTAATGCCATTACTTTTGGTAGTCTCATCTATTAAATATTTATTATATTGTGTTCATTTTCAAAATTTAATGTTGAACGAGTAACATGCAAAATACACAACCGTTTTGTTCGAAGGCCTGACTTTAACTGGTCACTGTGAACTCGACTTTCTAATTTCTTGCATTTTCATTGGCTGGGGGGCGTGGCCAGGTCGGCGGACAACGATGACTTACTATTTTCTTAACGCGAACGGACTATAGGTTTTCCACCACCATTTCACTATTACTATTTCTAGCATTATTCATAATTGCTTTTACGTAACTGAAATCTATGTTTGTTAAATCCAACTTCTTTTCTTCTTTCGTCACGTCGTACTGCACCTCCGAAATCTTCACAAGTGGTATTTTTAGACTGGCTTCCGTCATATTGCTCATTTGACCAATAGTTACTTTTCCCATTTGTATGCTGTAACCTATGCTCGGCGTCAAGATGTATGTTCCCTGTAGATTAAGTCTGTGAGTATCATCTTTGCACTGCTCCGTTAGTATAGCATCGTCTTCTGCATAGAGTATCCAGTGGTCAAAAGTTATTTTCTGTATTTTCAACTTCTCTATTTTTATTTGATGTTGATGGCAATTACTAAAGTTATTTTTAATTAGCATTATTTCCTCGATACATGTTTCTTCATCAACTGGTGCCATATTTTCCTCCGAACATAAGTGTTTGTTTAGTTCTATTTGGGTACACGGGCTTACTACTTTTCTGTATTTCAAACCATTCACTAATAAGCAGGGGTATTTAGGAATTATAATATGGGTGTTGGACAATTTCTTTATAGGGATGGGAATAATCTTGTAATAGTTATATGTTTCTTTTTCTATTAATGGTATTTCTAAAATAAAAACTAATTTGTCTCTGTCTATAACATTTTAGGATAATGTTACGTTCTAACTTTAATAAGTTATTTTTTGTTACTGGGTAAATAGTTTGTGCAGTTTGTTCTATTGTTTTTAAAAACATTTAGTAATTCCGTAGAATTAATGATGGATTGATGTAGGGTGCGTAATTTACTGAATGCTATAGTTGTTTCTATTTCTTGGATATTTTCATAAATATAACGAAAGTTACTAAGAATTTGATAAAGGCTATTCATTTTACGAATGAGATTGTCAGTTTTTGATTCTAGTTTGTCAACTTGTTTAAACTTAAAGTGCAAGTTTCCAACATTATTATTGATAGCCTCCGATATATTGGTTAACGCATTAAACGCTTTTTGCATTGAAGATATTTTACGTTCTGCTAAGTTTTCATTTAACCAGTCTATTTGATTTTGTATAACTGATAGTTCTTTTTCTAAATTATATTCTGTTATAATTTTATTAATTTTGTTGTATATATTTATATTATTATTAATTTGTATTCGTAATCGTTTATCTCTACCGTTTTAAAAACTGTCCAATAACTACTTTTCATTACTGCTATTCCATATTTCAGCGGGATTAATCCCGGATTCCGCTCACGATTTTGAAGTTCCAGGCTGTGGATCTGGCTCACAAGTGCTAAAAGCACTAGCCACGACCTGTGGAGGACGTTTTATATTTTTAGCAGCTACTCTAGTTTTTCTTTTATTTAGCTCTATTGGGACAATGTTGCGATTTGTTTTACCTATTATTTTTGCTTTTTCATAACGTGGTAATTGCTTAGCTTTCCTTATCTGAGCTGTTTTCATAAATACTGTATCACCTTCTCTAATTTCTGGTACTTCTTCACCTCCTTTCTTTTCCCTAACTTTAGCTTTATCATTTTCTAGTTTTTCCCCAACATATTCGTATAGTACCTTTGGGGGTTTTCTGTGATCTTGTAATAACTTTTGCATTAAGTTATTTTCCCTATTTATATCAAACACATTACCGCTATCAGTATTACCAAAAACTATTTCAAAAGGTGTAAATACCGTTGCGGAATGGATACTATTATTGTATGCCATAATAGCGTATGTCAAGAAATCTTTGACAAGTTTCTCATTACTTAAAGGTATGTGAACTTCTAGTATACATTGTCTTTTATTTGAAATATCTTTAACAGATATTTTATCAGTAAACCGTGTAGAAACTAAAATTTGACGTGGTTTAGTATCTATAGCGTCGTTCAGGATAGGAATCCCTTCATGTTCCCTGTTTGATACTGAGTTAGATATCAGTTAGGTATAGACACCATCGTCTGATAATTCCATCATTTCCATCGGTGGCTCGACTTCGGTATCAGAAACAACTATAGATTTCTTGCTTTTCGTGACGGAAATTGAGATAACTGACGGTGTTTTAGGTTTCTTGTCTCTTATTGTTGAGGCTGTTATAAAAAAATGTTCAATATGTTCATATTCTCTTTCGACCAAATGCGAATTAAAATCAAATTGGTTTTGCGAGATATTAGGTTGAATGTTATTTTCGGTGTCTGTATAATTTACGCGTCTTGAACTAGATGTCCTCATTGTGACGTTAGTATTAGAGTTCGGGGGCACTTATGACGCTCGGTAATGCATATTGTTTGGTGCGTTTCGCGAAAAATGCTGACGTTGTTGCACCGATGACGGTCGCACTGGTAACCCAATTTCAAAGTTCGTATTAAAGTTATTTCTAATGTTCATTGTATGATTATTTCCGAAGTGGGAAGAAATATTATTTGAATTAAATAAATTGTCTTGGTTATTCGATGAATGGCCGTTCGTTTGAGATTGAAAACTTGGGCCTTTATATTTATTATTATGATTAAAATTGGAATGATTTTGGAAATGGCTTTGTCTTAAATGTTGATTAGACCTTGGGTTCCTATTTTCATAAACTGTTTGGAAGTTCTGTCCCTCTAAAACAATTTTTAATGCATCTCTTAGGTGGTATTATCTGATAGTTTTGGCCGAGAGAGAAATAAAATCATTGGTCGAGTAGTAGTATCTGAGAAATGGATAATCACAAATGACACCATAATATAATTTTGGACGGAAGTTAAAGAATACAGTGATGCTGGTGTTCAGTTACGTAGTGTGGGATTTCGCCACCAAGGGCCACCTGGAAATTCACCCCCCCCCCTCTTTATTATTTTAATTTAAATATTTTATTTAACGTAATTAATATACGCCGTACAACTTATTGAAAGTCAATATGAACTACCACTTATTCGGAAGGAACATACTTCTATGGGAAGAAATAGCCCAAAAAACCCACAGGAAGTTTATATTTTAAAACATCGAGTCTAAGAGTTTGCGTACATTCAACTAATTGTAAATCATTTTATAGTTCTTATAAACAGAAAAAGATCGAACTGGATTTTCTCGGGTAAAATATCGATTCACTGTATCGATTCAGTATTATACATAAATATATAAATTATACGTAGACAGAGAAACATATGGACAAATTGACGCCTTCTTTCGTATTCGCACACGAAAAAGATAGATTTATGCTTACGTCTTGTATAGAGATGAGACAGAGCGGTGTGATTGCTTGTCCCTTTCTCCGTGCCGGTTTTTTATTTAGCAAACTACACTTTGCTAAACAACTTTGACAGTTCGTAGCGCTCTAAGGAGTTTACAAGTAGGTTCAAATGAGAAAAAAGTGTTTTGTGAGTTTGTAAAGTTCTTAGAACAATTAAAAATTTTATGTAAATATGTTTAAAAGTCATAAAAATTATTGTATAAAATAGAACTACGTTATCGTCATTTCTCACTCGAGGCCACGCTAATCATTAGTCTATAGGTTTCTCTGTCTACGAAATTATATCTATATTATATATTTAAAAAATCGATCTTTTTGGCAAAAGAAATCGATTCTTTGGTTAATCGATCTCAGATCGACATACCTACTTTGCTTGTTACATATTTATTTATTAATCTATGATCTATGGTGGTTAAAAAATCTCAGAATCGATTCGAATCAAACATACTAGAATCGACTATCGATTAAATCGAGGATTTAAAAAATCAATTTTTGATTAATCGCGACCTTTACCAGTATCTAGGTATTCAAAAGTATTCTGTCTATGCCCACAGCTCACATTATGTATATTTTTTAATAACAATTAAAGTAAATTCACAGGTTCACAGCTATAATATATCAATATATTATATTGTAGTCTTTGTTCACAGCACAGATTAAGTTAGACCCACATTTCACGTGTAAGATTAGAATTAGAATTTTAGAAATGAAAATGAAATGACAACTTTTCAATATCTTTGGATGCGTTTATACTTATAAATATATAAAATAGATACTTATTTATTTTATTTATTCTTTATTACATTCCTTATTGATATATAAGAATACAAGG